ATTTTGTTGTTGCTACCTCAATTACTGTTTTGCAATTGCTGTCTATTAAATTTCCTAGCACAAATTGGCTGTAAGATTGTTTTAGGTCGTCATTAAGAAATTTATATTAAATATGCAATAAGCTACTTTGGTTAACAGAAGTTGGGGGGATATTAGTGTCACAGTTTATTATTATAAATAATTTTTGTGTCTTCTGTCAGCATAACCACAGTAGTATCTCAATACCACCAGCTGATAATAATCTTTATAAATCCTACTTTGCAGCTATACCATCTGTTAGTTATTATTTTATATGTGTCTCCATATGCATATGTGAATTAGTTGTCACTCAAGACAAATATATAAATAGAATTGTGGTTTTGTGGGGAGATTTTTATTGGCTTGTTTTTGTGTTTTGTTATCTTTAGGCCAGTAAACTAAATAAATAAACATATTCCTCAGTCTTGGAAACTGAAACTAAATGCAAATTTAAAAATAATTTTTGTAGTACAAATAAAAGAAATTTCAATACACACTAAAAGTATCTACTAAAACTAGGTTGAAATTAATAGTCACCAAAAGTGGATATAATTAAAGAACCTGAAATTTACATACACATAGCTTTTGAAATATACCTACAAAACCAAAAAAGAATAGGCCCACTAGTAAATTAGTAGCTAACATGGTTCCAGTTTTCACAATACAAAACACTTGCCATGACTGATGATTTGAAAATAATGACTAATTACTTGCTTACTTGTTATGTTTATTTCCCTGAAAAGAGGAGTCATAATGGCAAAAACTCAAAACGAGGCCCCCTGTGAATCCGGGGGTTTATCCCTGAGCCGTAAGTAACCGGCTCCTAGACTGGCAGAAGCAAGAAGTAGTGGCAACACCATCACAACTCAGGACCAAAATTCACCCAGAAAGGCAACAAGAAAAAAAAAAAAAGAAGGAACAGAAGGAGATGGATAATCCTCCAGTTGGAATTAGTTCCAAATTATAACGCTTTCCCCAAGTACTAGAGTCTAATGACTTTCATTTCAATAAGCCCAACCATGGGCTTCTAGGGGCTCATGCTCTACGCACCGAAAACAGGATGAACTCTCTTAAAAGCTACCAGTGGCTCTCAAAACACAGACTAAAGCACAACGTGAGAGTAACCACATTTGATGACTAGGTGGTTCAATATTTCCTTAAGTTATCCTATTTTAGGTGATGATGCTCTGGGATCATACAGAGGGAACACCAAAGTAGAAACAGTAGTAACTACTTAGAGTCATCACTGAGAGAAACCCTAAAATATTTAGGGAAGGGGACTGAAGAAGACAATACACTGAGAAGTTTTTCTGAAATGAATGCCATATTACTTTCAGTTCACAAAGTAAAAAGTCCCACGAATTACTTAATACAAATAAATATGCTGCCTTTCAGAGTCATTTGTGTAAACACAGGAAGATATCTCATAATCCACCTCTGTAAAAATGAACTTATTGGATGTCCAAACCAGATCTCTTTTTTTGCACATTATATTCTGCCTAGATGCTAGAATTTCCACGATGTTGGGAGAGACTCTATTTGGAGAGGGAGCACATTTTTTTAAGTATACTTGGGCTATGAAGTGTAAGGAAAAAATATCACAGACTACCTAAAATATTTTAACTGCCATCAAAACTACAGGGTGGCACAGGCTGAGTTGCATTCATTTCTTAACCCTTTATCATCTATCACTGAGATTCCTGTGTGGAAAGTCATTTCATACCATGATTTGCCCCTGTATTTCTAAGTTTTTATTAAAAATGTTCTTATTGAAGGATTTCATTAAGGAATCTCACAGGAATTTATCATACAGGAATTAATTGTGTAAACAGTAAGACAAATTCTTTCATGGTCCAAAGCTCACCTACTGCCTGAGGTCTCGCTTCACTCTCCCTCCCTAATGACACCTATTCCTTCGCTGAAATCTCACTTATCTTTGAAGTTATGGAGTTTAAGGAACTTATTTATTCCATTTTTTATTATAGTGATTTGTGGCGCTTTCTAATTTTTTCCATGAATCGATTGAGAATTTCTGCTTCTATAGCTAAGAATCAGAGTCGTATGTATATTTACATCCTCTCCACCCCAGGTCCAACAATTCCTTGAGAATAGCAGGCAATCTCGATGTTTATCTGAACTCACCAAAAAACCTATTTCAATATACTAAAAGCCACCTTCTCCAAAGGGTCCTTAGAAAATGGAGTTATATTTGGGCAATTAAAGTGTTATTTTTAGGCATTATGGAACCCACACTAAATTACCGAACATATTCTCATTATAAATAATATTTCAACATTTCTTGTATAGCCACTGAAAATCAAAATAGCGAGAATCTTTTCTGCTCGGTACAATAGTTACGGTTTCTTAATCACATGTATATCTTTTTAAAAAATTTTATTTATTTATTTGACAGAGAGAGAGAGAGAACAGCGAGGGAGAAGGAGAAGCAGACTTCCCGCTGAGCAGGGAGCCCGACATGGGACTCCATCCCAGGACCCCGGGATCATGACCTGAACCAAAGGCAGACGCTTAACCGATTGAGCCACCCAGGCGCCCCTATCTTTTTTTTTTTTTAACTCACTGAAATCATTACACCCTTCCTTACTAATGTAGTAAGAGTGCCAAAAATAATGTAAATTAACAGATTTTTATGGGTAACTCCTAAGAAATAAGAAAACTTTTTCTTTTTATAGTGGTAAAGAGAGAGAGAGAGGAAAAAAAAAACAAACTGTATGTTTATAGTGTAAGAGGAAAAAGAGAATTTAATGAAAAGACTCCCAAGACAGCATTTGCAGAAGACTGCTTGCTTATTTGTTCATTTATCCATCCCAGAATCATTGACAGGACATCTTTGTCACCCCACATGGGTCTGACAGTATGTTAGTGGCTGGAGCTAGTTCACTAAGCTGTAGGCTCCACCTTCCAGGAACTGACACTTTGGTGACGTCATAAAGACAACACAAGTAGTACAAGGACTCTGAGGTTATCTCCGGCTGGGAGCACAGGGAAAAGTTCGGAAAGGAGGGGCCGTTTGGATAGCATTTTGTTTTAAGCTTTATTCTGCAGGTTTCAAGGCACTGGGCAGGGGGAGGGGGGCTAATGTGACAAAACCTGCTCATCTAATAACAGTCTAGTGAGCAGATGAAGACCTCGTTGGAGAATGAGAAACCAGACTTGGAAGGTATTTTTGAGGCAGAATCAGTAAGATTTGATAGACTTGATAAAGAGATTGAGGAGAATGAGTCAAAATGACAGCTGAGGCCTTTAACTTGGCAGGCAGATGATGACGTTATAGGAAATCTCGATTATCACTAACACATATTTACTGAGCACCTTCCATGTAACAGACACTTTTCTAGGCCCACAGAGTCTGTTTTTGTTCTAGTCAGGGGAGGCAGAGAGTAAACAAATGAATAATCTGAGAAGTAATCAACTTGATGGAAGAAATAAAACAGGGTTATGTGACAGTGACCAGGGGATAGAGACACTTTAGCTGAGGCAGTCATGAAAAGTGACATTTGAACTAAGACCTGAATGACCGTTGGGTAACAAAGGGAGAGCAAACGCAAAGGTTGAGGTGGGAAGGAGCTTAACACGACCAAGGGACAGAACAGTAGCTGGGAGGTGGGTGTGGGGAGAAAGGAGATAGGAGAGCATTTATTCTAGTTAACAGTGTGCCGCAGGCAGGGTTTCAGCCAAGGAGTGATGTGATCTGATTCATATTTCCGTCTCCTGTATAGGAGAATGGACCTAAGGGAGAAGAACGTGAGGGTGAGGGTGGTGACTCAGTCTAGGGTTCTACCAGTGCTGGTGCTGAGAGAGGGTCAGATTCCCGTTGTAAAGGGAGAGGTGACAGGGTTTAGGGACGGGCTGCATGTGGAGTGTGAGGAAGAGAGGAGCCGGGACACCTCAGGGGTTTGGATTCTAAACAACTGTATAGAGGGTGTGGTGCTGTTACACAGAGATGGTGAAAACCCGAGCAGAGAGAACCTTCAGGGTGTTGGGGCTGGAAATCAACGAGTCCTCTCCGGTTGCGTAAAGGCTGAGCCGCCTAGAAACTTGTCAGTGAAATGGCATGTGGACAGTTGGGTACAGTCTGGAGCTCAGGGGAGAAGTATCACGGAGATATACTTGGGGAGTCATCAGCCTCTTTGTAGAATTTAAAACCACAAGACTGGATAAGATTCATCTTGACTGATCGTGAGTGTATTCATCCATACATTTAACAAATCTTTTCAACTGCCTATTCTGCGCTAGGCTTTAGGGCTACAGAGGTGAACCAAACAGGCCAGGTCCCTGACGTCTCTCTGGCTGTACGCAGCAATACCCTCCTGTGCTGTAAGAAGAATATAAATAGGGGTGTGTCACCATGTAGAAAGTTCCAAGCTTCATGGATGTCTCTTGTACCCTAATAATTAACCTTCCCCCTAAATCTTAAAAATGATTATTTTAGTGATTAAATAATGTTAGTATATTTCTACGTAGTATGTGGAAGTATCTGAATTACATTTTGAAGTACCCACAAGGAAGAAATCATTTTCTCCTGTGGAAAAGAACAAATGCCCTCGTCTTGCCACTGAACAACGTCAAGGAGTACACTTTGATGCTGGAAATAGTAATGTAATGCAGTTCTGAAGAGGTTATTTGCAAACCGTTCTCGACAGCTTCATATATTATCTATTTATTCCAATGTATTAGAAAATAGTCACTCAATTAAAAATAGTTCAAATGTTTTAACTTAGGTGCTCTTTTCCTCTTTTTTCATTCGGGAGTTTCCAGTTCCAGCATTAGGAAAAGCTTAGCCCTGGCGAAACTACTCCCTGTGCCGCCTTCTCTGACTTTTGAGCAGATCACCTGCTTTTTCTGTCCGAGGCACCTGTCTACATGAGCAAGAGGAGAAGTTACCATTTATCCTCAGAGGACTATCTAATCATACTGACTTGTTAGCTTTACCCCAAAAGGACTTATTGAGTTTCACTTACCTCCAAAGGTTGGTTGCCTTCGGCTTCTGAAGTTTTACCTTCTGTTGACTTTCTTTGCTCATGTGCTGTGTCTCCTACGAAGAGAAGAACAAAAATAAAAACAAACCTTTACCATACCCTGGAGGCCAAATTGTCTTCTATTTATTTAAAATATCTTTTGTTACTATACGTTTCACATTATGGAAGCAACTACTATTTCCTTTGTTACAAAGTAAGTTAATTTTTAAGAATGATAATTTTATACAGGTTCCAGAAATCATACATACATCTACATACATACAACCTAAACCAGAGATGTATCCTGCTTCTACAGACATTTACTCTGGAAAAATTCATATTTTGAAAATCAAGTCATATTTCAAATAAACTAGGAAAGCTTATGACTTAAGGAAGATACGGCAAATTATTTTCAAACTAAAAGTCTTTGTAATACGAATAACTGTCCTCCAAGTTAGTTTTTTAAATAGGGTTTACTCATTATAAGTGTTTACTTGTGTGTCTGTAGATTTGCCTCAAAGTAGATATGTTTATTTCCATGTAATAGTTAACCAAACATCAAACAATCTTTACAGAAGGGAAGAACAATGAACAGATTCGTAAATTAGCCTTTGGTTAATACTTCGATTCCTAAGGCTGATGCCTGGGCGGGTTATATTACTAAATGAAGTTGGTAACCAGGCTGGCTCCAAGGACACAGGACAGACACAAACATAGGTAAGTAGAAGCATAATTTAATTTCTTAATGGCCTATTTTATTAACTATCACTAATGATCTGTGATTAACACATGGTAGGTAAAGAAACAATTAATGAGAGCTTGATTTAGTAATTTGTAAACTGCACTTCCCGTAAAATTAGGCCAGCTCAGGAATGTCCACAACAGGGAAGATTACAAAATTCATAGATGATGACTTGGCCAACACTAAAGGTTAGGAATTTGTTAATAAGGAAGGTCATAAGTCCTGACTGGAGATAACAAAGTATGCAAGTCCTGGCTGAGCTTAACTTTTTTTATGAAACACAAAAGTTTAGCATACCATTGCCGATAATCAAGGAAGAGCCTCACTGAAATTTTAAGGAATTAAATAAACCTGTTAAATTCCTAAAATCATGAAGAATTATGGGGCGCCTGGGTGGCTCAGTTGGTTAAGGGTCCGACTCTTGCTTTCGGCTTAGGTCATGACCTCAGGGTCGTGAGATTGAGCCCTGCGTCAGGCTCCCAGCTGCGTGTGGCGCCTACTTAAGAGTCTCTCTCTCTCCCTCTTCCTCTGCCCCTCCCCTGCTCTCTAAAATTAATAAATCTTTAAAAAATAAAATAAAAAATAAAATAAAATGCAAGCACATCAATCAATGCATATTCTAGCTTATAAGCTCTGTTCTCAGCTATGTGCAACATTATCATCGTTGGCCAGACATACCACATAATAGGTGTTCAATAAATACTAGCTGAATAAATCAGTGAACTTTTCTTTATACTTTCTAGTTCATAAAACAGATAAAATATTAAATGGTATGTAATAAAAGCTATATTTGAGCATACAGTTAATGTCCTTCTAAAACATATTTGTTAAACTTAAAAGGCAACTATATTAAGTACCACTAGGGTGTACTGCTTCTAGGGATCCATGATTGTGGCATAACTTATTAGATTTTAAAAATAGTTAATGATTATTTATAAGAAAAAAAATCATACTAAAACAAAAACATCAGGAACCTTTCGACTATGTCTATAGGATAATAAAGTTAATAACTGTTAAGTGAAAAATTTACATCAAACTACTTTTGTGACCTAACATGTCAAACTATTTTGATTGATTTTGCAAATGCTTATTTAAACTGACCATTTGCATATCGAGGAGAATCTGCTTTTCAGAAATCTCTCTTCTCTCTGAAAGTTAGGGACAAGATCATCAACCCCCAGTTTACAGGTGGCAAAACAGATGCCGGAGAAGTTTAGTTGGCTTGGCTAATGACGTGAGGACACAGCAGCCTAAGTAACCGAGGTAATGCAAGGCTCTACACATTGAGGTCAGAGTGTGTTGAATGACTCACAAGCCTGATTCTTACAATATATATTGTCCAATACAAAAGGTCATTTACTCAAGAGTTTTTACCTATTTGAATGATTATTGCTCTATCCCATAGCCACACAAACACTGTATTTAGCTAAAGTCATTCAACACGAAGTCAGTGCTTACTTTGCCATTTTCTGACTTCAAGCTGTGTGTCTGTGTGACGCTTTCTCCATTTCTCCCTACTGCTTGAATAACCAGAAAGGTTATCAGCCAATGTTCCTGACATCACACAACACATCTGCCTGGAAGCGATTGTAGAATCATTATTTACTGAAATGCCATGTCTGGCGATGACTCAGATAGGACAATAACTGATTACAAGGAAAAATGCCATCTGTGAGATTATTCTCTATAAACAAAGGCACAAAATGAAAACTGCTCAAACCACAAACAGAAAAGAACAGGTCACAATGAAATATAATTTTTGAAGGTTTTTTTCTTCCCACTGAAGAATTATTTTATCATGAAAAACATTCAGTTATTTTCTCTAATTTTTTATAACCCACACAAAAGTTAGATACTTCAACAATAAAGACAGACGCATGTGACAAATGTGAAATAAGGTACTTTAGTTTTCAAATTGTCCATTAACTCTGATTTATACACTGGGTAGATTAAAAATTTTCATTTGCAAGTCAGCTGTTTATAAAGAAGACTAGAACCCCTAGGGGCAGGGGCACTCAGGGACTTGCCCCAAGTCTCCCAGGTAGAAGGCAGTCACAGTGGGGGCAGAACCTAGTCTTCTGACATTTCTAGAGGCTCTCTGGTCTGGTAGAAGGTTCCAATGGATGTGGGCTAAGGTGGAGGAATCAAGTCTGAGTTAGAGAATGGTGAATAGAAGGGCCCAAGGATCTGAAAGGGAGCTCTGAATGCAGGATCTTGTGCTGGTCCAACCCTCTGGGCCCCCAGACACTTCTCTTGACTCCTTTTTTCTTCCATAAGCCCCACAGATTCTCTCTCCTCTTCCCTTTCCACTGATGATGCCAAACACTTCTGACCAGAGCAAGCCTCTGTCCTTTCTTCCTATCTTTCAAAGCAAATACAGTCCCCTTGATACTTTTCCAGAAGTTTGCCAGGCTAGAAACAATTTCACAAAAGGCAACAACCCCTCTTATATTTACAATCATCAATTTTCTTGGCTTAAAATGTAGTTTTTATTTAGAACAAATAATAAAAGCTACGTATACATACTAAGGAAGCTCTTTCAGAACTTAAAGAGCTGAGGTAAAAGTTCTCTATATTTTAGATTAGGGATTGGCAAATTTTTTCAGTAAAGAGCTAGATAATAAACATTTTAGACTTCATGGGTCCTACGGTTTCTGTCACAGAATTCTCAACTCTACCTTTGTGGCTGAAAACAGTTATAAACAATATATAAACCAATGAATGTGGCTGTGTTCCAATAAAATTTATTTACAAAAACAAGTTTCAGGCTGTAGTTTCCTGATCCCCCCCTTTTTTTTTAAATTTTATTTATTTATTCATGAGAGACAGAGAGCGAGAGACAGAGGGAGAAGCAGACTCTCAAGGAGCAGGGAGCCCGATGCGGGACCCGATCCCAGGACTCCGGGATCATGACCTGAGCTGAAGGCAGACGCTTAACCATCTGAGCCACCCAGGCGCCCGATCCCCCCTTTTTTTAATTAAATTATCACTATGCTCAACGTGGGGCTCAAACTCACGACCCTGAGATCAGAGTCGCATGCTTTACTGACTGAGCCAGCCAGGTGCCCTTCCTGATCCCATTCTAGAGACTATATGTATTTCCACCTTTTCTAGGATAAAAGGCTGAATTATGTTTGAGTTATATGAGGAAACAAGCAAGGGATGGTCATTAGAGTATCATTATGATCCTAATCTACTGGGTGAATTGGGTCAAGGGCGGGGAGAAATGGTGGTGAAGAGTGGGAAAGGGAGAGGACCCCCACTGCCTATTTGGGTTACCCGGAGGAGACTTGTCTTGGCAAGAGAGCAGGTGAGGGAGTGCCTTCACTCTTTAGGCCTCCTTCAGTGTGGAGGAAGCTCCACTAACATTAAGCCAAGGCCTCCCTCTACTCTCTAATCCATGGCTTGGTAATTTTGGTGGCCTTGCACATGTGGTTCCGCCCCTAATTCTTCCCCTTCTCTTGGGAATGGGAGGACAGTAGACAGCACGGTGCTGTCTGCTCTGTTGCTCCATGGGGACCTCCTCCCACCTGGGAAAGCCTGCCCCAGCCCAGCATTTTCTGTAACTGGATGGAGCTCAATCTAAGCCTGGGGTTCAGAAATCCATTGGGTCCTTGATGGAAGAAGCCACATTCTTCAACACCAGCTTACTAGGCAATAAAGATGAGAAATTGGTCTCTATTTGGTGGTGGGGGGGTTTTCCCCCTAAATTGATTAGATCTTATCTGGAGAAGATGGGTGTTACTATTGGAAGGCCCTAGGGTCTAAAAGGACGGGGGAATGGGCTGGTATGGACAGGCCTGGAGCCTACCTAAATATGAAAAGCTGTGAATACAGAAAACTGTTTTCTTTCTTTTAACTAGAGAAGAAGTATATAGAACTGCCTTTCTCAGAATGCAGTCCACAAAATACTACTTTTGATACTACATGGAAAAAAGATTTCTATGGTCAAAAGTGTAAGAAAAATCTGCAGAATGCATTCCCTTCCTGTTGATTTCCAATGCACTTAAACATATTAGAGGCTTGGAGAAATTCTTCTAGCAAAGAATCTTTAAGAGCGCCTGGGTGGCTCAGTTGGTTAAGCGTCCGACTCTTGATTTCAGCTCAGGTCATGATCTCAGGGTCCTAAGATGGAGCCCCACATTGGGCTCCATGCTGGGCATGGAGCCTGCTTGGGATTCTCTCTCTCCCTCTGCCCCTCCCTGCACTCTCTCCCTCTTAAAAAAAAAAAGAAAAAAAAAAAAGGAAAGAAACTTTAAAACTTTTTCCACAATATATTTGACTATGGAGCATTTTATTCACCTGATACCCATTAAGAGGGTATCTTGCAGAGGT